AGATGTTTCTTGCTATATCTTAAATTGGTTTCTATATTTAGGTTTATATAAAATTTAGCTGTTTTTTTACAAATTTTTAATTCAAGTCTATTGGGAAAACAGGGTTGTTTTAAAAAACATCTGTGTTTGTGTGTAATTTTTAGAGTTTTTGTTTAAATCTTTCTGTGTGTCTTTATTGTGTTGTTTTATTGTTGTTTTTATATTGATATTCTTGTGCACTACAAAATTATTTATAAAATTTTAGTACTATTTTTTTCATGCAATCAATAAACGTTTAACATTTATTTATTTTGTCATTTGTCTGATTATTTTCGTTACAGAACATGTATGCAGTTTGCACTTTATTCAAAGGTTAAACGCAGTGCTTACACTTTGTGTTTACATTACAGCCTGTGTTTGCTGTTATATAAATTCAAATGGTTGTAATACCATATAACAAGTACCAATGTAATACCAAAAGGTTTTATAAGGTGTTTAAATACGGAGTCGCGCCAGCTCCGGGCCGCAGCGCACATTACCCTCGCGCCGATTCCGGCGCGGATGCGCAGCGTCGGCTCGCTTACGGCCGCCGCATCTGGCCCGCTTGATTCGGGCCGGAATCGGGCAGTGAGTCCACAGGCATCCGGCCCGAGTCCGGCAGCCGAAGTTGGGCCGAGGGGTTAGTCTCCGGCAGGCGACAATCTTGCCGGCACTGGCCCGAGTGTATTTTGCTATCTGGGGTAAGTTGTAAAATGTAAATTTAACCTGTTAATCATTCGAGTGTCTAGACTACTGGTACAGGTAGCCTACAAGTGGCCATTTAAAGCAATAGTATCTGGATGCAGTCTTTAAGATTGCATCTCTCGGCGGTGTGTCGTTGATCATTTCCAAGGAAAGCGTATGTAATTGAATGAATAAACATGTTTGATTAAATTTGCCTGTTTTAATCTCACAATTCTGACTTCTTTAAAGTCTAGTATCATACATTGTTTGATTAAAAAAATTGCCTTGATTTCTCGCAGGTCTGAGTGTAAATATCACAACAATGCTTAATGTTCTCACATTTCCATGTTTATAGTTCATAATTCCAAATTTCCAGAGAATTTTTACTCACAAAAAGGTTAGCCTAGGCCTTCTTGCAATTCTATTTTTTTCTCAGAACTGCAAACTTTCAAAGATGTTAGATACAAAGCCACAATCATGGTCAGATTTGAAAAGGTCAAAAAGTTCTAAAAAGGTCAGATTTGTGAGATGCAGGTGTGTGGGGATGACAGCAAGATAAACTCGTCTGACAAGAAAAAACAAAAACATTTTTTTCCCTTTAACTTAATTTAGCAATTTTTTTTTTTGTGGCCAATGTTGTATTTAGTCCTGGCCTCCGGATATCATAATCAAATATTCAGTATTCTGGTCTTTGCACAGGGCCCTCCTAATTTAAGTATGTAGATTTTATTTTTACCTTACTATTTTACTAGATTAAAATTTTACCAGAGTAAAATCATGAATCATTCTCATCAACAAACAGTATGGTACATTGAATAACAAAGTGTAGTTTAAAGGGATAGTTCACCCAAACAAGTTTCTATTTTCCAATGAACACTAAAATATGATGAATGTTAGAAACCAGTAATTAACTTAGGAGGAAAAACAAGTACTATAGAAGTAAATAGTTTCTAGATTCCAGCTTTCTTCAAAATATCTTCTTTTGTGTTGAACAGAAACTCAAAACAGGTTTGTGACAAATGAAAGGTGACGCAATGACGACAATATTTTAAGTGTGGGGTCAACTGTGCCTTTAAGACTTCATTTATTAAAATGTCAATGACTATATCTAATTAAAAGTCCCGTGACAACTAATGTTTAGAAAATATTTGCTGCTAAGAGATATTTTTTGTCAATTTAAAGAATTCTGACTAAATATTTCCCTTTGTGTAATGTCTTAAACGGTCATTAAATATCACCCTCCTACATATCTCCTTCTCCCACTTACCTCAGTAGCTCCACTGCCCTATAAAAAGACCAGCATGCAGCATAACTCTTATTAATACTGAAGAGGGAGTGCTGTACTGCCTATATTAACACTCATGATAACAACTGCCTGTCAATCACAACTCAGGCAACCTTAATGAAAACAGGACAATGTGTATCCTCTTGTTGACCATTTCCTGTCACATGACCATCGTCTGCAATGACCTTGTGCTTCGCTGCATTCTGGTGCAGCAACTGCTGACAAGAGACACCTGCCGGAATAAAGTCCATCGAGGGGCTTGGTCTGTGATCCATCTGTTTGTTTGGGAGGAGATGATACCAACTATTGGTGCCAAGTGAGCTCATGTCACTCATCTGGCAGAAAGAGAGCATGCTGTACGACACAGATAAATATAGTCAAACTTAAATCACAACAGCCGGCTGGGCTTAACTCTTGGACAATATGATATTAAAACACATTTTGGCATGTTAACTCCAATAAAGAGGCCTACTATTGTTACTGAAGCAACAAATCCGTATTAGAAGCGACTTGAACATGACTCTTCTCATGGATACCATTCATTCATTCATTTTCTTGTCGGCTTAGTCCCTTTATTAATCCGGGGTCCCCACAGCGGAATGAACCCAACGGCCACTTTATTAGGTACACCTTGCTAGTACAGGGACCCACTTTTGCCTTCAGAACTGCCTTAATCCTTCGTAGCATAGATTCAACAAGGTACTGGAAATGTTCTTCAGAGATTTTGGTCCATATTGTTTTGGTCCATATTGACATGATGGCATCACACAGTTGCTGCTGATTTGTCGGCTGCACATCCATTATGCAAATCTCCAACACATCCCAAAGGTGCTCTATTGGAGATCTGGTGACTGTGGAGGCCATTTGAGTTCAGTGAACTCATTGTCATGTTCAAAAACCAGTCAGAGATAATTCACGCTTTATGACAAAGTGTGTTATCCTGCTGGAAGTAGCCATCAGAAGATGGGTGCACTGTGGTCATAAAGGGATGGACATGGTCAGCAACAATACTCGGGTAGGCTGTGGCATTGACACCATGCTCAGTTGGTACTAATAGGCCCAAAGTGTGCCAAGAAAACTTTGCCCACACCATTACACCACCACCAGCCTGAACCATTGATACAAGGCAGGATGGTTCTATGCTTTCATGTTGTTGATGCCAAATTCTGATCCGACCATCTGAATGTTGCAGCAGAAATCGAGACTCATCAGACCAGGCCACATTTTGCCAATCTTCTATTGTCCAATTTTGGTGAGCCTGTGCAAATTGTAGCCTGTTTACTGTTCTTTGCTTCTGCTGCTGCAGCCTATTTGCCTCAAGGTTGGACGTGTTGTGCGTTCAGAGTTGCTCTACTGCATACCTCGGTTGTAACGAGTGGTTATTAGAGTTACTGTTGCCTTTCTATCAGCTCGACTAGTCTGGCCATTCTCTGACCTCTGGCACCAACAAGGCATTTGTTCCCACAGAACTGTTGCTCACTGGATATTTTCTCTTTGTCAGACCATTCTCTAAAAACCCTAGAGATGGTTGTGTGTGAAAATCCTAGTTGACCAGCATTTTCTGAAATACTTAAACCAGCCCATGTGGCACCATGCCACGATCACTCACTGAAATCCCCTTTCTTCCCCATTCTGATGCACTGTTTGAACTGCAGCAGATCATCCAGACCATGTCTACATGCCTAAACGCACTGAGTTGCTGCCATGTGATTGGCTGATGAGCAGACAGACAGGTGTACCTAATAAAGTGGCCAGTGAGTGTACATTACTAGTCAAAAATTTTGGATGCACTTGACCATTTGTTTTTCATTAAAGTAACTTTCTGCAAAGCTAAACTGCAAAATGTCTGTTTTTAATCTGGTTTCGGTGTTAATCATTGTTGGGACTAACAAAAAACTGAATAAATAGATATAAATTTTACATTAAACATTAAGTTAAAATAGTTTCCTGAAAACAGAAGTGCACACTAGTTATAACAAAGTGGACAGATATTATTGGAATCACTTTCAAATCTTTTCATTTCTTTTTCAACCAAAGAAAAATGTGACAGCCAATCAGAATCTAGAATCTTAAAAGCTTGAACGTTTCAAGTAGCAGAAGACAAAACTACAGTGTGCTTTAAATGAGCAGGACAATTAGTGCCGATCCACTTTTTCCCTTAACAGTTTTTTTCATTCATTGGTCTATTTTTTCCTCAAGTCTTGTTAAATCATAACGTTACATTACAATCTTTGATTTGAAGCAAAAAGTATATAAAAATGCAAGACAAAAGGCAAAACTACAATCCCATGATGCACTACAAATAACATTAAAATGAAAAACAATGAAGGAATATAAAAGTATCCATTTAAAGTTGTTGGCTGTATCTGTGGAACCAATATATTTCACTTTATTGTAAACTATGCATACATATAAAAAACGTAAGCATGTTGAGTGTAGAGAAAGTGGCTTGATTACATTATTCACACACAGCGCTTCTGCAACCATCTTACTCAAGGAAATTTATGCACAGCATCATGGGTAATGTAGTTTTGTTGACAATGCAAACAGATGGGTAAACAAAAGCTTTCACAATATCTGAGCTCACAGCAGGCCTGTCTTTAAACGTTTATCAGTTAAAGTTCTGGTACTACTTTATTTTCTTTCCAATAACCAATTAATTCCCCATTATGATAAAAAGTGATAAAGAATAAGCATGTCCACATTGGAATGTTTTTATCCCTCTCCTTTACCTCTTAGTAGCGAGTGATCACTCATGTTCAACGTAAAATCAGTGCAGAAGGATTTAAGTGCCCAAAGTTTAATATTTTCAACACCTCGTTTGCCTAATAATGAGCTTTGTTTAACAAGCACAAAACATCTTTACTCCGTTACAGAAAGCTACTCACTTATCCTTCCAATCCAAGAGATGGAAGACAAGAGCTGTAAACAAAACGACAAACTGAAAATTCACATTTCATGGTTTCCCTCAAACAGAAAATAAAATCTTTAATGGGGGTCTTTACTCGCGAGCCATTATGAGACAACAAATAAGATTGTAATTTATTGGTAGAAAAGGGTCAAGGAAAATAACCATAAAAACCATGACAAGAAAAACCCGGCTGACTTTCACTTTATAAATAAATCACTTTCACTCTTGCATAAGCTAAGTGTTTTAAACGTAACATTTAATGATCGTTGTGCTCACGCACATCCTTCAAATGACTCTCAGCTCCAGGAAGGCTACAGAGCAAATCCTATGACAATGTTTAAACATTGACAATGCATCTCCGCTTATCTGCAATCAGCATAACGCTGCAAATGAAGTTCAGAGTCAAATTTCATATACTTGATTGTTCAGAGGAATAGTTTCACACTTAAAGGTTCAATGCCAATAATGTATTGACTGCGCAGGACCACCTCCTGTCCAATTCACTCCAAAACAACAAGAAAGGAGAGGGAAAAAAGATGCACTCACATTTACAGACACACCGCTCGCACAAATAAGAGGTCCGGGGCTGCAGCAGGTTTTAATGCTCTTATGGAAGGCCAGAGAAATTGCACACATGGCAGTGTCCAACACACACCCTGCCCTGTCATCTCAAAATCTCAGACTCTCGTCTTTAACACGTCGATCAGCAGTAATAAATAAAATTTTATCTTTAGAAGGCTTTGTTGGGCAGGAAGAAACGAATACATCCTCATCACCTCCATTACAGCCTAAAGTTCCTGTGTGTTTCGTCTGCTAACAGACTAGACTCTGACAAGAAGAAATGCTACATCAACAAAAGTTTCCAACAAATAGGGAAGAGAGGGGGGGAAAATAAAGAAGAAAGCAGCATACTGTAAGTCACGTTCATGGTGGGGGAAAAAAAATCTACTCGTCTGAATCAAGGTCTTTGGGAAGACTGACCAGAATCAGCATAATCCCATCGATGTCCATCCTGACTGGACTCATGTCATAACTGTACTGGGATCAGTGTGTTTAAAGGGAGCGTGACAGGGTGTGGTGTGGAAAGCAGCTGGTTTGGTGATGCACAGGGTGTCATGATAGCATAGTTAGAAGTCTTCAGTGCATCGGCCTCTAGGCTGCGTCCTCTTCAGGCTGGTTGTCTTTATAGACCTCTCTGACCAGCAGCGCTCGAGTCAGGAGCCTGCTCAGCACACTCTTCTCCAGAGGCGTCGAGCTGAACCACAGCGGACTATCCGACGACGCAGACACCTCTGGCTTCATGTAAAAAAAATCTGTCCTCTGTCTCACAGACTCTGGGCTGAGGAGAGAGTAAGAGAGAAGCGTCAGACAAATAGTTCAGAAAAACTATTAAAGTTCAGCAAATCTGGCTAAAACCAAAAAGACTATGAAGATATGTCCAAAATGTCCATCTTTGATGTCGAATCTTTTCACCAGCAGCAGTTCTAATCATATTAATAATAATCAAACACTCAGTGATTTTCAAAGGCAACCCCTTGCTAAAAAATGCTGATTTGTTTACAAAATGGTAGCTTCATACGCAGCACTGTGCTCACTGTCATCACCTGTGACTATAGTCAAGATGTTCCCCTGTTATGATGAAATGTCCTACACGCTATGAAATGACACGAGCATCATATATTTTTTAGATTTGGCTGAGATAACACCTGTGTTAGACTGTAAATCTAAGACAGGGGGGTTCTCAATCTCGGTCCTGGTGGGCCGGTGTCCAGCAAAGTTTAGTTACAGACAAACTTGGGCAAGCTAATCAAGCTCTTACAAGGCTTTCTAGAAACATCCTTGTTGTGTTGAGGTGTGTTGAGGCAAGTTGGAGCTAAAATCTGCAGTACACCAGCCCTCCAGGACCAATTTTTAGAACCCCTGCTCTACCAGATTTTAAAACGTTTTAATGAAAACAATAAGGTGTTTAGTGGCTTCTGAACTTCTACGTTAAAAAATAAAAAAATACAAGCTCACTTTTCAAACTTTGTACAAAAAACAAATAATAAAAAAATGTTCATAGTTTTTACAAGGTCCTATGACCCCACCCCTGGTGTGAAAGTTACATGTGGTCAAGGGTATTTCTAATATAATTTAATTTCTGTCATTCAAACTATTACACAAATACCAACAACAGTTTGACAATCTCCATTCTAACAAGCCCACACAATTATTACTGCATGATTTATCCATTCAATTCCACAATAGGCATAAAATATGCATAGGCAGACAACAGGAATAAATAATAATAATAATAGAAAAGCGCACCATCTAGTATAAAAAATATATATTTTAAAGTCTTTCCAACAGAATGAAGACCTGGTAACAAATTTTGCATAATATTAGTTAAATGGCCTTGGGGTTAAAGCTTAACATTTAGTTTTGTACAAAGATTTTCTCTAATAATAATAAACAATAATTTCTTGCATTTATATAACGCTTTTCTGGACACTCAAATTGCTTTACACACTTTTTGGGGGAATCTCCTCATCCACCACCAGTGTGCAGCATCCACCTGGATGACTTGACGACAAGACTTGCGCCAGACTGCACACCAGCTGATTCGTGGAGAGACAGAGTGATGAAGCGAATTATGATATGGGGATGTTTAGGACGCCAGTGGGTTAAACCCCTACTCTTTTTGGAAGGACATCCTGGGATTTTCAATGACCACAATTTTACATCTCATCTGAAAGACAGCACTCACTGAGCAGTGTAGAGTCCCCATCAATTTACTGGGGAATTTGGACCCACACTGCCTCCTACTGGTCTCACTAACACCTCTTCTGGCAGCAACCTAGCTTTCCCATGTGGTCTCCCATCCAGGTACTGCTGACCAGGCTCAGCCCTGCTTAGCTTCAGTGGGCGACCATTTTGAGTTGCAGAGAGCTAGTTGCCGGCTAAAATACATAAATTTTATAAATACATGCACCATTACACCCCTGTAAGACTACTACAGATCAAATTTTAATTTTCCAGTTCACTTAAGACACTCTACCCATTTATCATATTACCTCACTAAGAAAAGAACTGAACAGGCACCACTGCTTGACTACCTCTGCACCAAAGGTCTGCTGTGTCCTCATATTACAAGTGTCAACACCATGTTTCAGGATGTGAACAGCAATTGTTATAATCACTGGACACCACTCAGTTTAAAATAATTTGAACTAGCTGCATTCAAATCAGCAAGAAACTATCACAGTTAAAATAAAAGCTCTTTTTTAATATAAAATAGAAGCACCTCTTCATCTTAATATGTTGTGTAATTGCTCTCATTATGATTCCCACATTAACTTTATTACAGCGGAGTATAATTAAATACACATCATTTATCAGTTAACGTGGGAATGACAGATACATACTAATGTGCTTTCGTGTCACATCTCAGAATGAAGTATAAATGAAGTAGAGGAATGTACACAGGTGCACTCTGGCAATAAGGGGCAGTTGTACTTGTAGAACCACATTTTGGTGCACTTTAAAATGTTTCCCTTAAAAATGAGAACCGAACGTAAAGGGTTACTAAAAGAAAAATACAAATTTACAGAAAATTAAATTAAATACTATTTACAGTTCTGAAAAAGCCCTTAGTTCTTCAAATGCATCACAAATAAGGAAGATTTACGTCACTCACCACTTCGAAAGGTAAAGCTCATACAGTCGGCACTCATGCTTCTTAACAGGACAGTGTGCGGATCCCCCTGAACCGCTGTCTGAATCAAAATTTGAGTCACAGTAATCTTTACGTCTTCTCTTACTTCCTGATTGCTCTGTGAAAAACACGTACAAGACATTTCAGCAAACAGCAACACTGGTAAAACACATTGAACATTTAAATATCTAACAAGTTTGGGACATTTAAAATGCACAAGTAAAGCGAAACTACAATTGAAAAACACACCATGCTGCTCCTGTGAGATGGAGGGGATGCGTATACAGACGGTGGTCTCATGGCTGTGCGGTTTCGAGCTGCTTGGGCCATAGACGTTTGCAAATGAGAGGCGTAAGTGCTGTTCTGGGGTGCGAAGACCAAAGTATTTGGTGTTGAGATAGAATACAGATCTCAGCAGGACAGAAGGCGCCTGTTCTCCAAGCTGTCCGCTGCTCCACAGATATTGCTCTTCAACACGACTCCACCGAGAACCTCAAAGGAAAAATACTCACACTTAAACACTGGAGCAACACTGTTTTTAATAGGTCAAGCACACCATGTTAAGGTATTTCAAACCCTTAATTACATTTAACAATTGAATCAATTTGAAGTATCCATACTACATATGCAGGTCACTAATTAGTTTGAAATGTCCTCATAGTTGGATTGAGTCAACAATCTTTTTCAGAATGTGAACAGCAATGGTTATAATCACTGGACATTTTAAAACAAGAAAGATTATCAAAATGTGATCAAAAAGGTGAATATTTAAGCTTGTTGGATTATACAAGATGTGATTTATATTCTGGAAAATACAGTACAGTGATCTTTGCACATTTTCACACTTATAAGTGTATTTACCATCCGGAAGAACACTGGGTTGCCAGTCTTTGAGGAGCTTGTTCAGTTCCTCCCCAAACATTTCATACTGTGAGTCATTAAAGAGGTCATCTGTCCTTCCTTTGTCCTGCAAATGCTACAAATGTGCAAAAAATATATATGAATACACTAATGCATTGCAAAACATGTGGATTTAATAAAGGTGAGAGTGGGTCAGTTTTCAATAAGCAGTATTATGTGTCCTCATAGCAAAAGCATCAACATCTTGTTTCAGGATGTGAACAGCAAATGATATAATCAATGGACACTGCTTAGATCTGGAGTGCTTAAAACTAGATCTAGTTTACTTGATTTTGTTTAGTTTGGCAGCATATAATTTTTAAACAGTGGGGAAAAAAGAAAAACAAGAAGTTAAAACTTGTAATTTTAATAAGGATTCCGCCAAGATTATTTTAATGTTGGGATGCATAAACTGCCTGTCCAAAAGTCAGTCTGCAATATTTTGTTGGATCATCTTTAGCTCTGATTATGGCACATAATAAGCATGGAATCTTTTCAATATGATTCTACAATCTAACAACCTTTATTATCATCCAGAGTTGCATTTTTTTACCCAGGTCTTGTATTGATGATGGGAGAGTCACACTACTGTACAGTCTTCTCCAGCACATCTACAGATACTCAACAGGGTTAAGGTCTGGACACTTTGAAGGCCAGTTCATGTGTAAAAATTATGTCTCTTGCTCCCTGAAACAATCTTTCACAATTTGAGCAAAATGAATCATTGTGGATTAAGCCTTTACTATCAGGGGAGAAAAAAAATATATGAATAAATTTTTTGTTTAACCTGTATATAACTGTTATATATTCAGGTAGTCAGCTGACTTCATTCTTCAAGCGCAGAACAAAGCTAATGCTAGACCTGACCAGGTGTAGCATGCCCAGCACTGCTCCTACAGGCTTATATGGCAAGAACTAGGACTGATTAGTGCATCACTTGATCGGCCTCTCTTCTTATTCTGATGGACTCATCGTTACTCTGTATCAGGGCAAATCTGGATTCATCAGACCGCATGATCTTTTTCCCATTGCTTCAGAGTCCAATCTTTATTTGTCCTAGCAAACTGAAGCCTTTCCCCCTATTAGCGTAACCGATAAATGTTTTTCTTAAGGCAACACAGCCTTTTTGTTCCAATCCCTTGAGTTCCCTTCCCATTGTGCATGTGGAAAAGCTTTTACTTTTACTATTAAACAATGCTGTGAGCCCTACAGTTGTTCTTCACAGTTTGATTTCACCAGATGTTTAAGTGATTGCTGACTTCTTAAGGCAACAAAGCCTTTTTGTTACAAAGATGATGGTTCGATACTAACCTTTCAGTTTTAATACTGGACAGCTCTTTATTTAATTTTAGTAGTTTTAGCAATCTCCTCAGATGAACAATGCCAACAATTTAACCTTTCTGAAAAAGATTAATATATTTTCCATAACAACAGGATTCATTTTCTGAATGGTTTCTATTAGAAATTAGAAGCTCTGCATCAATCTGAAATCACTTTTTACTAGCTCCGTCCAGTAATTATCTTTACCCATTTGCTTAGCTAATTCCATGTGGTGAACAGACAGTATGTTGACTTTTTTGGACAGACTGTATGTGCGTGAGTGTGTGTGTGTGTGTGTGCGTGCGTGCGCATGTGTAGCATCCCATATTGGTCATTAGGAAACATTGGATTTCTGCAGACAAATTTAAGACTTCATGACATTAAAACCAATAATCAATAACTAATAATTTGAAGGGAAAGCTTCAATGATTTCTTAATTTATAAAAGCACACAAGGAGATGTAATAGCAAACATTCAAGGTTTTATAATTCTCAAGATTTCCAATTACAGCTTTGGTGGGCAAAAATCATGTTGACAACTCACCTTCTGGATACCCAGACAGAGGTAAAGGAGGCTGTCTGGACTGTAGTGTTCACCATTGGGACGACGTACTTCTTTGACAAACCGGGATAAAGACTGATTCAACTCTTCTTGGCTCAGGGACAGGAGACTGCTTTTTAAACTAACTGCTGAAGTGAGAGGAAAAACATTAGCACTGCGTTAAAAGACATGAACGTCCTGTTGATTTTATAAAAACGATCATTTACACAATAACTCAGGTTTTACAATAGTACAATTCAATAAAAAACACAGAATAAGGAAATGAATAGAGATGAATAGGGAAAAAGTGCCCTCATAACTCAAAGTGATCAACAAAACTGTTTCAGAATGTGAACAGCAATGAAGTTATAATCATTGAGCACATTTAAATCCAACAAAACTTCCCATCGATTAAGCTGCTCAATAAAATCTTATTAAACCTTTAATGATTATTACCTTGTTTCTGGCTCTCCTTTCCTTTGGACGGTGAGTCTTCAGTTGTGGCCCATCTTCTCCATGCGTTTAAGCCATATCTGGAGCTTAAGGGGAAAGAGCTGTCAACTGCTGAGGACTCTGCTGCTGGAGAAGAAGACAACGAGGATGAAGACTCTTCCTCTACTGCCCGCCTCTTCTGGCCCTAAAGTTAAAGAATAGCAGAACAATTAGCACATACGCAGTGATGGTTTACAATCATTTTCTTCGACTCTCTAAGCCTCATATAGAACCTCGGCAATCACAACAAATCAGCATGTGAACAGCAAATGGTTTTCTAATCACTGGACAGTTCTAAGCACTGTGTTTTTAGAGTTGATTGTTTTAGTACCCTTCTCCTTGTTCTGGTTCGAGGTGTCTTTTCTTTTTCCTCAGCCAGGACTGGAGGCAATGAGAAGAGTGTTTCTGTATCCAGACGCTCAACTAAAACGGGCTCTGATGCTGGAATAAACAAGAGCAAAGTATAATTATTTCATCTGATAACTGTGAATTAGTAAGAGTGTTTTTCGTTAAATGTATAATCTCATGTCAGAGATCAGGAACAATTGCCCTAAAACAATTTTACTTTAGAAAGAACCTCCATGCTCAATTGCTAGTTACTTTACCAAGGGGTAGGTCCTTCTCCAGGTCCAAATCTGGTTCATACTTGTCTTCCTCCTCCTCTTCTGAGCTCCCGCTACCGTTTTCCTGTTTTACAATTTCCATCTTCTCTTCACTGCTGCCCTTTTCACATTTGATGTCTGTACAAATTCAAAAAGAGAAGGGATTTAGGATGTCAAAATTAACAGATTTGGTAACACTTTACAATAAGGTTCATTAGTTAATGCATTTACTAACATGAACTAATCATGAACACATGTACTGCATTTATTAATCATAATCGAGCATTTACTAATGCATTATTAACATTCAAGTCCATGCTTGGTAACATTAGTTAATGCACCGTGAGTTAACATAAACTAACAATGAACAACTGTATTTTCGTTAACTAACATAAACAAATACAGTAGTAGATGTATTGTTTATTGTTTGTTCATCTTAGTAAATGCATTAATTAACATTAACTAATGAACCTTATTGTAAAGTGTGACCACAGATTTAAAGAGGCACATTAAACATTAGGGCCGTGATGACATCTTGACAATAAATACATCTAAATACAAAGCAGCTACGATAGAATGTAAGGGTGAAATTAGCACAAATGCAAAAACTAATCAAAGCCAATTATGCAAATTAACAACTAATTTGATCATGCAATTATTGTGTCTGCTTGTTGTGCACAGAAAACATCCACTAGTCATGTTTACAGGAGCGAGTAATACATTTCGATGGGGAAAAAAAGGAGTTTAAGTTTAACTTGCACATTCTGAAATGCTATAAACAAGCAAAAGCTTTCCCAGTCAGCGCTTCAACAATTCCTAGAAATACAGGTTAACAGTGTACTCTCAGTGTCCTGTCAGATGCTTGACAGATTAATAAGCAGTTTGCATTGTAAAGCATTTGGGACTTGTTTTAAATAAAGCATAACTAAAATTTCAAAGCTCGAAAGCCACAAGATTAATTACAGTTTGCATACAGGTTAGTCAAGCGTGCAATGATTGACAACTGGAAATACAATGTACAATTTTGTTAAGATATACTAATGTAGGTTTAAATTTTTAATAATGGATCAAAAAAATAATAACAATAATTATTATTACCATTACAGCTATTAACAACAATAATTACTATTATTTAAGGCTGATTTATACTTCTGCGTCAAACGCACGTGTATGCTACGGCGTTGACGCATAGCCCTTCGCCGTGGCCGTCGGCATCACTGATGTGTACCTCTCAAAAAATGCAACTACATGTCGCAACGATGCGTAGCGCAAGCTCTGTGATTGGTCAGCTTGGTAGCTCTGACGAGTCTGGGCGGGACCGGGAGCCGCGCGAATGGCGCGAGCCCAATGGAGCGATCGTTTACAATTGAGGAGTCCCGTGAAGGAGCTCCGGATGGAAAGTTTTGTTTTGTGTTTACCTCATAGTTAAAGTTGTTGCATGTCCGCCGGTTCCTGACTCAAAATGAGCGAGTTTGAGCCACTTGTACATCCAGGAAGTGTTCAGGAAAAGCAACACAGCAGCGAAGAAACTCGACACAGAGGAACATTAACACCTCACTGCCCACTAGCGTTTCGGAAGTGTAATGCATACCAACAGAGACAGCACGCAGAAGTATAAATGCAGAGCTACGCACGTTGCATGCGCCGATTGTTGCGCCGGTCACTTGACGCAGATGAATAAACCAGGCTTTAGGGATACTCCGATCGATTGGCCAGGGATCAGTTTTGGCCGATAATCACATTTCATGATTCGATCAGAAATCGCTGATCTGGCCCATCGCATGAACTATTTGAAGTATTTGTTTTACAAGTTTACAACCCAGGTTCTACATCCACATCGCTACAACACATGAGCAATGTTTCCAAATTGCATTGTCAGTCATTTTTCTTACTACTTTTCTCTATCTGTTTAATCTTCTTTTTTTGTGAAGCTGCTTCTGACCATTACATGTATGCAAGACCCTTAATTTATTCTTAGGTAAAGCGAGATCTCATACATACAGGGAAAATGTGCTTCTGCAATGGCTTAGTTTCATACAGCTTGAAGCATCAGAATCAATATTTGTTGTCGCCTGATCACAATGACAAGGATTCGGTACTTGGTATCGACTGCAAAAATCCTGATCGGAGCAATACTCCTCTTATTATTATTATACAACATCAGAGTCTTGTTTTCATCTGCCAAAGCTGTCTAGGCCTTAAGAGATTCTTACTTGAGCATTTAGGTTTCTCGTCTTCTTGTGCAATCACTTCTGCCATCGCTATTAGATCGGCTTCTAGAGGATCAGAAGGAACTTTGGCTTTGAGCTCTCTGATGGTCTTCACAATCTGCTCAGCGTTCTGCAGCGTGGTTGGTAGAAACACTGGCACAGGCACCTGAAAAAAGAAAGGTGTAAATGAGTAAAATAAATAGACAACATAAAAATAAAACTAACATTGTAATACAAACTATACTAGTACCATTTCAATGACTGACATTCTGTGAGAACTTTCTTACCGGTACAGGTATTGCAAAAGAAGTGGGCGTGGCCTGAGAATAGAGGTTCATGGGTACTGGGACGTAAACAGGAACAGGGATCGGAATAGGAATGTACTCCTTTCCTGAGCTCTCCAGATCTGCCTCATCTAAAGAGAAGCAGGTATTAAAGCTTCTCCATCTTTACCAGAGAGAGATTATACATTACAGAGATTGTATAGTCACAGAAAAAAAGATCCTCACCTGTCTGCAGTGGTTTGCTCTGCATGTGAGGTTTACAGTATGTGGCCTTGGTCATGGTGAGGGGCTTACAGAGCACAGCTTTATTCTTCACATCCTTCAGGATCCCTCCGCCAGCGTACGATACAGGGCCCTGAGTAAACAATTGCAACAGTCACAACAAGAATGGACTAATCGTTCATAAATCATTCAGTCAAAACTGACAGGACCCTCACCATTTTGGATGTTTGGGTTGGTCCTCCAAACCCTGTAAGCAGACCAAAAAAAAAAATTTCATTTTAAGGTTTAATTTAAACATGATGGAATGATCCATGCAAATTTTCAGGTCCGGGAGTAAAACCCTACCTAAAGCAGTGTTTTCTGGGCCTTTCTGTGTAGCCATGTTGGGCTCGTTCTGTTGGCAGTAGAAGCGCAGGAGACACTGCTGGTCACAGAACTGCTTTAACTCTGCACGCCACTGTACAGACTCCGTCAGGTTCCCCTGTACCTTACAGCAGTCACAGCGCGCCGCCTAGTGGCCACAGGAAAACAAACAGGGATTGTAAATGACTGCATTACAGATTTAGGTCAAAGAGCATCAGCACAAGCACACAATGGACTGGTGGCTGATAACTAGGCCCACACGGAATCTGTGTGTGCAGAAATACACAGATTTTTTGCCAATCATTGACTATTTACTTGTGTAAATGTGTGTAAACTTATATTTATTCAGTTTTTAATTAATTTCAGTAATATTATTGACTAATATGAAAATGAGAAACTATTACTTGACAATCTGTATTGTAAATAAAAATTCTTTCGTTTAGTAGATATATTATGAGAGACTTGTTTTTACCAAATAAGTGGATCTAGTTGGATTAGCATTGTAGGCAAAGTTAAAAAAATTTTTTTAATTTTTTTTCATAATGTTTTTAAACATTACATAACATAAATTCTGCGCAAAAACAACAAATAAAGTCTGTAGATTCTATCTGGCCCAGCTGATAACTTACTAAACTCTACAAATAAATAATTATTTGTCCTGGTTTCATGCAAACCATGTTAACTAAACTTGATAATTTAGCTTATTAGCAGTGTAGTGATGTCAAAACACTTTGTGTGTCCGAGTCAGAGTATTCCACTTTTAAGTGAGCAAATATTTGATGGCTGAACTCGACTGAAACTGATATCTGAAGGTGCTACATTGCTATGCTGATGGACCATTTTTCTTTCTTTTGGGGAAGAGGTTTTTATTAACATAATCCTTTAAAAGGTATTTAAATAATCTTATGTCTGTAAGATTTAAAATTTCTGGTAAAATTTTCCCAAATCTCTATTCAAATTTTAATCAAACAGTAAAAAACATCAACAGGAAGAGTCTTAAGAGTTTTAAGAACAAATAAATCAAAGCAAAAGTGAGACGCTGAAGCACAAAACCTTTAACCTTAAGTTACAATGGAAAGTAGGGGTGTCAAAGATAATTGTTTCTTCGGTGCACCGCAGTGTAGACATGGACCATTCAGTATCGTTTCAGTAATAATCATAACCGGTCATTACATACCTCACTTTTCTCCTATGCGCTATATTGTTGTAGCTTACTATGTCAAGGGAGGCAAGCATGAGTAATTTAAACACTCCAACTGCGTAAAAAAAGCAGAAACTGTCCACAATTTACTGTGTGTGCGTTTGCTGGACAGTCTTTCTCTGATACTGAAGTTACAGCAAAGCCCCTATTTCACTGTTATGGAGAAACTGAAAGTACACTCATTTCTCTCTCTCTCTCACTGTGGACATACAGTATAACTTGCTGTTGTGAGGTAATTTTTCATCTCCTCTCTGCTGTTACAGCAATATATTTCTGGATACAGACACGAGCGCGTGTCTGCAGAACGAGTTTTCTCCTCTGCGTCTATCATAGATCAGCTGTAATCACTGCTGCACTTTAACAGAGTCACTCATGGGTGAACAGCACCAGAATTTTAGAGCCAATCGCAGCCCTTTCTGTTGAGCATGTGACCAATCATAGGGGTGTAAGCATAATTACATTTGTTTATTTGCTATAAATGTTCATGCTGTTCTGTGCATGTACTTGAGTTTTCAGAGGTACAGTTCATATATATGACTGTATTAAAGCACAAAATTGTATTACAAATAGCATACAAATAAATTTATTAGGGCTGTCAAATTAGCGTGTTAATCCACGTGATTAATTTGAAATATTTAACGCGTAAAAAGAAATAACGCAAATAACGCAGTTGCAGTTTTTGTATTTTACGTTGTGGCCAACGTGTGTTCATTGCCAGCGCAAGTATTGGTGTCCAAGAGAATGAAAGTGCCAGGTGAATTTGCAAGCTGTCAAAGCAAGCTCCTCCTTAAGCTGCATCCATGAGCCTTCAAATGTTTCATTAGGTTTGACAGGTTTCCCCCTTTTGCAAAGTGTCTGCTTCACGTTGGTGTGTCAGAATCTTTGCTTGTGAAAAACAGCCATACTTTAGAACGCATAGTTTAAGCAAATTTGATGAACGCGATCGTACTTGTTGAAGAATCGGAAGGAATTCCTCTCGCTCCCTGGCACTGCGTGTGTTGTCTCTGTGTGTGTGTGTGTGTGTGTGTGTGTGTGTGTGCGCATGCATGCATGTGTTTGTAGGCCACTAAGAATCTAACATGGAAAGCATTTTTGTTAGTTATTGGCATGGATTGTTATGAAATTCAAAATGGCACTTACATGTCTGTGTTTTTATTCATATAATAATACGGCATTTTGTGATTAATCATGATTAATTACAAAAAAAGGTGATTCATCACGTCCATTTTTCTAATAATTTGACAGCCCTAATTATATATATATATATATATATATATATATATATATATATATATATATATATATAATTATTCATTAGTTTTTTTTTTGTGCAGTGTTGTGCTGTGAAGTAAAATATAGGTACGTATGAAAAGCATCGTCAATGCACAGAGACGCACCGAGGTATCAAACTGAACCAAATCGATGGTATGATAATCGGAACCGTACCGAGAGACCAGTGTAGGTTTACATCTCTAATGGAAAGCTGATTTGTCTTTCTCTCAGATAATATATATATTGGAAAAACTGGTGAAAAGTAAAAAAATATATAATTTAAGTTAGTTTAGGTTTGTGGCTTGTCATGTACATTGATATTAATTTATTCAATAAGAAACAAGCACTTTTATATGACATTATCTGAAGTACTTTTAGGACATGATGCACAGATCTAATATATATGAATTATATAAAATCAGTGACAGTACCTTGTAGTACCAGTCGTGAAACTTCTTAGCACAGGTCTCGCTGCAGAAGTCCCGGCTGACTCCGTCTATCTGTTTAGTGACAGATTTCTTGCACATCTGTGTACAGTGGTTGCAAGTCACACACTTCAGACCCAGACGCCTGATGAAATCCTGCTTGAACAGTAACTTACAGCCTGTAGACAAAATAGAACCATATCACTGCCGTCAGAAAACTAAAAACATGCCAACAGTAAAATAATATCAGAAGTCTAGTGTGTCAAATTCATTAGAACAATGTCCTCATATCCTAAAGATAAAATCACAACACATCATGATGTGAACAGCAGTAGATCTAATCACAGGACAATGTGCTATTAAATATGCACAGAAGTTCAACTGAACCTAGAATAATGACCTTCACTACAGAAGGGTCTCTTCACCCCCGAGAACTTCACAGTCTCATGCAGAGTCTTCTCTTCCTGACAGAACTCGCAGAACGTCACGATGCAGTGGAGCTTCTTGTAGTCCTCACAACAGGTCTTGCTGCAGAACTGATACACCTTATCCTGCAGAGATCAGATGTGATCACATTAAGGCCACTCACAACATTAACAAACCAGCTCACAAAAAACGTAAATTGCCATTTTCTTGTATCCATGTTGTCTTAAATACGAGTTTGAAAAATAATATTTGAATTTGCAAGGTCTACTGTAATTTTGCATAAATTTATTTTATTCCAAACCACCAATGATGTATTTACTATGTAAATATATTTTAGTTTTTAAGTGAGAACATCAACCCTCTGTGTTCACACTAGCTGCAGCTTTACCGGCATGACAACTTTTCAAGCATGATATATACTTACCGGCCACTTTATTAGGCACACCTGTCCACCTGCTTTGTGATTGGCTGATTAGAAATGTGTTAACATGACATCAACTCAATGTATTTAGAGATGTAGACATAGTCAAAACAATCTGCAGCAAGTCAAACAGAGCATCAGAATAGGAAAGAAAGTTGATTTAAGTGACTTTGAATGTGGCATGGTTGTTGTTGCCAGACGGACTGGTCTGAGTATTTCAGAAACTGCTAATCAACTGGGGTTTTCGCGCACAACAATCTCTAGGGTTTACAATGAATGGTCTGAAAAAGAGGAAATATCCAGTGAGCAGCAGTTCTGTGGGAGCAAATGCCTTGTTGGTGCCAGAGGTCAGAGAATGGCCAGACTGGTTCCAGCTGATAGAAAGGCAACAGTAACTCAAATAACCATTCGTCACAACCGAGGTATGCAAAAGAGCATATCTGAATGTACAACATGTCAAACCTTGAAGCAAAGATGGGCTGCAGCAGCAGAAGACCACACTGGGGTGCGCTTCTGTCAGCTTAGAACAGGAAACTGAGGCTGCAATTTGCACAGGCTCACCAAAATTGGACAATAGAAGACTGGAAAAAATTTTGACAGGTCTGATTCTCGATTTCTGTTGCGAAATTGGGATGGTAGGGTCAGAATCTGGCGTCAACAACATGAAAGCATGGATCCATTCTGCCTTGTATCAACACTTCAGGCTGGTGGTGGTGTAATGTGTGAGGGATATTTTCTTTGCACACTTTGGGCCCATTAGTACCAATTGAGCATGGTGTCAACGCTACAACCTACCCGAGTAATGTTACTGACCATGTCCATCCCTTTATGACCACACTGTACCCATCTTCTGATGGCTATTTCCAGTAGGATAACACGCAATGTCATAAAACACTAATCAACTCAGACTGGTTTCATTGATATCAGACAGATTTTTAACCAGCAAGCACTTTTTTTCTGATATTGTAATTAGATTTGACTTATTTCTGGGAGGAATAAAAATTAAAATATTTCCTAATGTCGACCAACAGCGTATCTTTCTTATAAATATAGTGCATTCCTGTAGATTGAAATGAATGTCACTATAAATTATATTATTTTAGACTGATATTAATAAATGAATAAATGACAATGTGCATGCAAGTCCTCACCTCCCATTCCAGAACCTCTGGCTTCAGGCTGAAAGAACTGCGACAATAGTTACACTTCAGCTGGATGTCTTCAGAAGCTGAAGCAGGAAGTTGCCCATTGGTTGATGTTTGGATTGTGGCATTCTACATTTGGATAGCAAAGTCACCAGAAGAACATTACCACTCTGTACTCTGACATGGACATTCCTAATATTTAGAGTCACGTTTAAGCTTGAGTTCTACAGATAGAGAAAACTGAAGTACCTGAAACTTGGTGACACACTGTGAACTGCAAAAGCTCAAAACCTTTCCTTCAGGTAAAGTTGCCTGATACTGAGGTAATGCATTTCTCTTACAGAAGTGGCACGATGGCTCAGAATCTACAAATACAAAACAAGATCAGACATTTATAACAGACATCAGTTCCTCTGACCTCAAATCTCTGACTAGAGTTTGAAGTTGGTACACATCTTAAAAGTAGAAATCAAACTGCCTGACATAGCATGCATGTAAAGGTTAGGAGTTAATCCTGGGGAACTAAATGGGCATGATCTGTGCTGGAGAACAAATGAGGACAACATTTTGCATATTCAACACGTCATCAGAATTTAGGGGCATTAAGGGAACACAAATGTAGGCCGCTGGCACCCATGGAGCAAGAGTGACAGCGTCGACTCTAGGTTGCGATTATCCACTCACTCTGTGCAGCAGCTGTGAATTTGCTCTTGGTCATACAGGCTGTGGTGCAGTAAGACTCCATGGCTCCATTTGCCCCGATGCACTGAGTGGCATCAAATGACCTGCACATCACCTTACACCCACTACACTGCACTATCTTTCCATGAGTCTGTGGAAAGAGAAAAATTAAGAGCAATCATTAAAAAAACATGAGAACTAGGAGTGCACTGCTCATTGCAATAAAACCCAAATTCATGAATCAAAAAAGATTTCAATTCATTTCAAAACTCAAGTTTGGACAAAAAAAAAAAAAAAAACAGCAACTGCAGAATTGCAGCTTTGCAGTAAAGTAAATAATTTTTAATATTCATGTATCAATACTGTTTTCTGACCTAATCAGTAGGCTTCAATCCTCTCACAGAGTAACAGCTAAAGGTGAATGTTTTGTTCTAAAGTGTAATGATTTACCTGTTAGCCTAAAATCAGAAAGTAATTTAAATGTTTTTACTAGTGTACTTAAAAAGTGGTTTAATACAAAACAGCAGTGCTTACACAAATAGGCTATTATTAGTTTGTTCGATCATGCCACCTTTGCTTTTGCCATATAGCAATTTTATATAAAGAACTATAATGTTGTTTAAATGTATCTATTCTATTTTGGTTTTATGTCAAGCCTCCGTGGGCAGGTATTGAGAATTAGCAAGTATGCTAAAACACTTAAATGCAAAATCAAACAAAACGTGCTCAGGGGTAGCTTAAATAATGTGTCGGTGATCTTTGGGTAAAGAATTCATTAGAAAAACAGCAAAAAATAAATAAATAATTCGGCACTTAAAATATTTTTATATTTCACCCAAACCCTAACCAAGTAACACTTTTACCCTGATGAAGGCAATTCTGCTTAGGGTTTTAGGGATTAGCCATGGGCTAAGGGCCTTTTAAGGTTTTTTCCACAGTTTGAGTACCTTCTACTGATTTTTGCAACTTAAACAAATACATTGGGTTGTCAAGTGTAATTGTGATGCCCATGTCAAATAAATAATTAATAATAATGTATATAAAATAATGTTTTGTAAAAGACCCTAAAGAGTGTGACATAATATTACAAACGTTGCAGCATCTGTAGAAATTGTTTGCACAAAGTCTAGCAGCTCAATGCTGGTTGTTTTGAATGTCCAACAACTAGGGGATGCACTGATCGATCGGCCAGAGATTGGTATTGGCCGATAATCACATTTAATTACTCGATGGTTACTTGCTGACCAGGCTGATCTTATGAACTCATCGCAAGTGTTTGTGTTAGTTGGAGATGAGCTAAATACTTGAATGACTTTGCATGTATTTAGGCCTTTTTACATATAAGAATTGAAAGTTGTCTATTTTTGACATCATTGCAAGTTTACTAAAACCTGGCGGGATATATAACATACATAAAACATTTTTAACATGAATATTTAATAATATAACTACCTACAGCAATAAACAGAAGTTTATAGGCTCATTTCCAAGTTTAGTATTAATAAATGGATTTATAGGTGTTCATTTTAACTTCTTACACATCAAACATGTGCTCCAAACTTCTTTATGGTGACGTGTTGAATTCTTTTCCCATCATTTGCAAAGTTTCTAAATTTCATTATTAGTCATTTTCTTACCAATTTATTTTGTGTTTAATCAGTTATTTTCTGTAAATCTGTTTCTGATCAATGACATGTTCACACCTAAATGGTTGTAAGAGACACGTTTAAGGGATTATATGCAACATCCTTAATTTATCCTAGGTAAGAAGTGATCTCTACTTAACTATGATACTCAGAGGGAAATGTGCTTAATGCATTATTAAACTCCAATCATTATTATTGGTACTCTGTATCGGCCGATCACCATGACAAGGAATTGGTACTTGGCATCGGCTGCAAAAATACTGATCAGGGCATCCCTACCTACAGGAGGCTGAGCTAAAAGTAAGAAAAAAAAACAACATACGACACTGACCTGTTTATAGTCCCTGATGCAATTTTGACAGCAAAAGCGTTTCTGCTGGCCGTCTATGAGTAAAACGTGGTTCGCCGTGGCACGACTAGGCAGGTAGTTCCCACACTGTTCGCAGCAGTTCATGACTAGCCCGTTAGCCATACGGTAGCGATTAAAGCACGCATCACTGCAAATCTTGTGAGTCACATTCTTGATGCTCACCTCATGCCGAATCTGGATACAAACACACATACACACAATGATGAACAGTATTTAATGTAGAGGTTACAGGTTCAAGATTAGCATGTTATAAATAACCGAAACGACTAATAAATTGGTGTAATGGTCTTTTCTTTTGTTCCCAAGGTGATTGCTATGGCATCACCAAATACAATCAAGGATAGCAGTAACCATGGCTACAAGGTTGGAGGCTTGACTGTGTTCAAAAATTATATTTGACAATGGACAACAACGGAAAGTGTGTGAAAATGACAGTACTTGGGTTTTCCATTCAGTTGCAATGAACTCATATTACAGAAGAACGAAAAAGAAATAAGGGGAGCTAATTCTAACCATCCCATCTCTTTAGAAATTAAAAAAGCCTTGCTGAGTGTGATGGTAATAAACTCACTCTATCATTTCATGCTGGTCTTCATTAATTAACATTCATATTTTCAGCTTTCCCCATTGCAGGATTCATTAGTTCACCAGCATCAACTAGTTCACAATGACTGGACTGATCATGATAACCGTATACAATAATGCTTTCTGGGATGACATTGGTAAAGTACACAAAGTCCTACATCAGAACCATTTAAAAAATTAAGCAAACAAAAGCAATTGCAGTGCAAAAACATTGTGGCTGCGTTATTTACTTCATGCTCTTTTTTAGTGTTGACTGTATTAGAGTTAGCCAATCATAGCACTAGATATTTACCTTCATTTCTGCAAAAAGTAGTACCAGGGTTTCTGCTAGGTTTCATCAAGTAAGATTTAAGACTTTGTACGACCATTTTAAGATCAAGAATAAAATTGAGGATGAAGGATTTGATGTAAAATGTCTAAGAGCTGTTGTAAATTGTATCTCTTTGCAATAAAAAAAATTTGCATCTAAAAAAAGGTTTTATTGAGATGCATTGTTAGTCACAATATTTTAAGATTTTAAAGAGCCTGCAGACACCCTGAATGCAATTGTCAATACAAACTAAAAAGATTCATAAAGAAAACAATCAGCATATGTTTTACATCAAATAATAGCTCTTTAACCTGTTTCTCAAATGTTTGCCTGTACATTGCAAACAAGAATGAACAGAGCCCTGAGTTCAAATTCTGAGTAACACTGTAGCCTAACCAGGCACAGCAACACTCCATAAAGAAAAGTTTGCCTGATTCATGGGAGTAACATGCTGACAACATTCGTGGCTGTAGCTGTTTATAAACAGGGTATAATACATTCAATGCAAATGAAAAGTATATCAGAATATGAACAGTCTGACCTCAGTGAGTTTTCCACAGACGGTGCACTTTGTTTTAATCTGGTTCTTCTGAGGATTTTGTTTGTTTTCATAAGCTGCCAGGCAGCCTGTGCTACAGAACTCCTGAAATGATTCACTGGAGTCCACCTGGGCCACTATGGTGCCTCCTTTCATATTGGTTATGTCTCTGGTAAAGAAAGGAAACAAATGTTAGGATGACACTCTAATTGCTATAAACCAAATCAAGACAATGCACATATATAAAAGTCTGACCGTGTGTAAAGATAAGAGCAGCTAAGCATCATTTTAACCTGTGGTTAGCAATTTCAGATCACTCTCTCGCTCTCTCTCACTCACTCAAACTCATATTAAAATGACGTACTTCTTGCACATGGTGCAGCTCTTTTTGGGAGCGGGCTTATGGGAAAAGGCAGACAGGCAGGTTGTTGAGCAGAACAGGTGGGATGAGCCTTTGCGCTGGTACGCAGTCTGGCCTTTCTTCAAAGGTTTCTTACAGTTGGCGCATGTGACTTTCATGGTGCGCGGTGGCTGCTGGGATCCTGAGGACTGGCAGGGAGGTTTGGGTAGAGGAGCTGCAGGGGATGGTGAGTCCACTCCAGGCTGCTTCTGATTACGTGGAAAAGACGCCGATTGGGAGATCCATGAATCTGAGGGAGGACAAAAAGATTTCAACTCACCGTCACTATAACAGTTGTTATTAAATGCATAACGAGTCTGCTGACGAGACTTTTGAAGTTCCCTAATCTTGTATTCAGAGCCATTTAAACATAACAGAAAAATAACTAGCATTTTTGCAGAAAAACATGCTGTCTAGTCAGATGTTGTGCGCCTCCCATCAAACGGATTTAACTATGGAAGATGAAGTTGTTGCCTGTGGTGTGGCCTTGCTCCACCTATCCTATATGTCAGAAATATTCTGAAGCAGCAATACTGTTGTGTACTGTCGTTATAGATAGCATGCGGTTCCTGCTTTTTATTTGAATAAACATAACCCTAAATGCACATCTGTAACTTGCCAGTAACATTTTAAATGTATGTCCCTGTAAGAATACAAAAACACGTCATAAATAATTGGAAATCCAGCTACCACAATTCCCAGATTCTCCTTACTTTGGCTTTGGAAACAACTGTGTTCAGAACTAAAGTAAACAGGACTGTGTTCTGATGCTTCTCGCTGGAGATCACCACCAGTCTGTTCTGATTGAAAATGAATGACTTCCGGCTTCTTTGCAGTTGCGTGCACACTTGCACAATAATCCATGTACATTAATACATTAATCCTAAATTATTTTAAGATCACTACAGTGCATCTCTTCATCATTTATAATAGATTAAAACATTTTTTTGGTTTGGTTCATTTTCACAAGGGAGAAACTGTGCCGGGTTCAGCCACAAACAGACCAAACAGGCTTGAAGAGTCAGCATAAAAAAAATAAAAAAATAAAAAATACAGTCAATGATCAATTTTATAAATGCAATATTATAAGTCTTATTGTGTTTCATTTTTAAAATGTTCTGACTTTATAATTGTTAATCAGAATGTCCTAACTGTACCTTTCAATCATGTAACTTCTCTCTCTCGAGACATATGCATGACCACTCCAATCATTCAGTTCAATAAAGCCCTGCTCCAGGAAGCTCACAATCATCTGTCTCATCTTTTGAGTGCAATACTTATACTAAGACCCAACCAAACGTGAACGTATAGAAACAAGTTCTTCTATAGAAACAGTTTCTCTTTCTTAATATTAATTTTTACTTGGATGCATGTCACAATATATCCTATCAGCATCGATATTGCAATGTGCTCATTCGCAATAGTCACATTGCGAGCATATGCAATGTTGAGTCTGGATTATAATTCATCATTAGCATGGGTTTTTCATGCCCGTGACTGTATAATGACCTTAAAAGTGTTCAGGCATAATCAACTATACCACTTGTAACTTTAACAGTGATTTATTTTACTGAATTATTTTCACTTTTATCATTCAGTTACTGTACTTGAATACTGCTAGACTCGAAAAACTTTTCCAAAGAAAAGAAAAATATCTAAAGATGCCTTTTTTAAGTTAAAAAAGAAATCGGTGTCTGAAATCGGAAACTAATTGGTTCTTCAATAAGCCACACCCAAAAACCGCCACACACCAGTCATGGTTTAGCAACCTTAGCTATGTGCAGGAGGCCTGTCAAGCTTTGGAGCAAGGGAAACAAGCCAAAGCGCTGTTCATATGGATTGTGCAAATCTGACACCGGTATCATAAAAGTTTGGACGGGGTGGTGGAGCTTTATTCCTTTTGCAAAACCTAAAACCAAATGGGAGACATGTCAGCGTGGATCAAGCTCTGTGAGGGGTGCTAAAAGAGCGGAGATAAGTTGGTTTTGTTTTCTATTTTCCTGACACATTCAGTGATGGACGACAATAACTCACACACATCTTAAAAGATCTAAACTGCGTTTCCTACAAAAATACAAAAACAGGTTATTTTTCCCAGCTGTCTTTTTCTATTTTTTTGCTCGATTATATGAGCACTGCCCTGTTAAAGCCCTCGCCAAAGTAGTCATACTAATAGCAATCATATTTCCATCTGTTTCAAGCTACAAATAATTGAAATTACAAATCAACAGAACAAAACTGAGATGTGATCACAATCTGAGCACTTGTGATCAATATACTTCACCCGCAGCTGTTTATCAATCATATATATCCCTCATGACCATGTCAGAGCTACAATTCACTGATGTTTTCGGCTGTCTTTTGGAGATTTAGTCATTGGTGACGATGATATGGCAGGTTAGTGTCTGCTTTTATATTTCGTGTCTGATTAATATTTGCTGGTAGGGAAAATCAGGTTCACTTCTGCTATTTATACTTTGTTTGCATTTCAATTTATTTATTTTTCACTTAACTGCAAATTACAAAAGAAACAGTATAAAAAGCACAAACTTACTGACAGTTATAGGTGCTGTACATTGTTATGAGTAAATGATACTAATATTCGGTACAAATCCATCAATTTCCCTTTTATGGCTGTTCTTTCTATCAATGAATTATGTAGAAGCACAGTCCATGCGTGTTTCCTCGTTGGTTAGTAAGGCTATATTTCATTGCACAACAATTAATCCATCAGGCTTTTTGGCTAAAAAAGGAAATCATGGTTTAATTTGTTATTATTAGATTATTGATAAATTTCACCTCTCTAGCTGTGCATGAACTAAGCTGTTGAATGGTCAGCATATGAGGCGGCTAGGCTCACGTAGCTTCAATTTTGATGGAATTATTCTCTAATCAGTTGCCTATTAAGTCATGAATACGCCCCGGTAATGCATACTGCAGTTCTTTTTTGTCTGGCTTTCTCGGATATCTCACCTGTTCGCCAAAAATGACAAATTATATCCCTGGCAATGTCTGACACTGGGGCATGCATATTGTAATAAGACTTTCCAGGCACGAAAGCTTGACAGGCATAACAACAGTAACTAAGGAAGGCGGGGGCTTAGCGAAGGGTCAATTAAGACAGTAGAATTCATTCAATGTTTGCTGTCATTTATGGTTTTTAAAAGTGTTTTTTTTTACCCAGACATTTTAAAAGAAGATATTTAGAGCAGTAATTACAATACCATGATATCATGACATTTTTACCCAAGGTTATCATACTGTTCTATACCGGCCAATGCCTGACATACTACAGACTGCAACGAAAATGTGTCAGGGGACCCCAAAAAGTTGATAGAATGTTTATTAGATTATTTGGAGTTGCAGAATCATGCCAATCGATCTAACATTATAAATCCTTTACAAATAGATATTCAAGTTATGTGGTGAAATAGTATTCATATTGCAAACTAAAAAACTATCACAATGCTAGGTTTTTTTTAAATCGTGCAGCCCTGTCACAATATGGTTAAAAAGGTGTGTTACTACTTCTGTATGAAACTGAAATTAGGAAAGATGCAGTTAGTAATCTCTAGTTTTGCACTGTTTCCTAGTAAACACTCTTCCACCTTTATTCCATGGACTACGGATAATGGTGCACTGATATCTGAAAATGGAAACCTGGGATTGTTAGGTCAGTATTAGAGAAACAAGTCAATGCAAGCCTTATGTACATGTGCTTGGTAGAGGATGACACAGCAGCTGAGTGTGGATGAATTACCAGATCTCTGGTGTGTCCCCGTTTCTCCATTCTGCACAGGCTGGCTCGCGGCACTAATGCGTCCTGGGTTGAACGTGGGTGAAGGTCTGCCGGTTGTACCCTGGTTCTGCTGGGCCTCTGGGTTCAGGCTGAATGCACTGCTTATCTGCAGTCCGTTCTCAGCCCCCTCCAGTTCCTCCAAAGGGGCCGCCGCTGGACCATCCCCGTCTTTCAGCGATGTCACATTCGTGATCATGAGGTTTATATCCTCTTGAGCACACAGCGCCAGTGGCGATGCTGTTGACGTATCCATGGCAACCGCTGAAGAGTCCGTACCCAGCGTGGTAACACTGGCAATTTGGATTTCAGAGTCAGGCTCTGTGCTGCTCAGGGCATCCTCCACCTCAGGGGGCGGCACGGAGGAAGAGGCGGTGCCCTTGAGCTCTGAATCCTCCTCGTCGTCAATAACGATTGGCTCGCTTTGGCTTTTGGCCGTGGTGGATGCAGTTGTGCCACTGGTAGCTGCAGAGGAGGGAGGACTGGGAGATTTGGAGGGAGCTGTTGCCGTGGTAGCCGACTCCGCACAGTCTTTGGCAGCATCGAGGGTTTCTGCAGGTGTGGAGATGGGGGGCTGTACTTTCCCCTGAGAGTGAGCAGGAGGCTCTTCTACCAATACCACATCGTCATCATTGTCTTCCGAGGCTGTGGGCAGGTCTGGTGCTGTCTGTGACTCTTCTGCAGATGGAGACGGCTCTATTTCGGGCGTGGTTTCCATTTGACCCTCCTCCTCCCCTGTGACTGTACATGCCTCCTCAACATCTGCTCTGGCTTCCAAATCTCCATCCATTGCTTAGGCAACCACCTGTAGACACAAACACAATGAGCTGAACAATTACCTGATGGACCCACAAGGTCAGGAGGAGGTGCTGTAAAGGAAGACCACTAGTCAGGAAGCCAATTACATAAGCTAAACTGATAGGCAAATATGACTAATACAGCCCACAAAACTAACAAATTTGGTCAGTCGCTTAATAATGACAGATGGCAATGTGGTTAGGAATTCACCAAGGGATTAATAACATCAAATTACAAGGTGCCTCTTAAAAAAAATTAAAATAAAAGTGTTCACCACAACTCTAGATTGGGGATGGACGATATGGACTTTAAAACATTTCACATTTTCTGGTATTTATTGAGATGATGCTATTTATGATTATTTATATACTGAGAAAATAAGAGCTGAAAGTGCTGTGATCACACTGTAATGTTGTGGTTTCATTCATACGGAACGCTAGTGGGCACTCTTGCACATACACCCCACATATAGATTACTGGCGAAAAAAGAGAAAAGCAATAGAGTGGAGGAACTGTAATGTCAATTTGTATGCAAAAACCTGGAAGCGAATTAGCATTTTAGCAGTTCCAGTTTCCTCGTCACAAAGTCAACAGATTTTTTGAATGGGGTTTCAGTAAAATCGCTTAAATAGGTTTGTGGCTAACACAAACTCAACATACTTTCACGTTTTGTTCTACGACATAAAACACATCAGTTACACCACACTCTTGATTTTTTTAAATCGGTAACTCTTCTTTAAAAAGACGGTTGCTGTCAAGTTGCTAAATGGGACTACAGGCGGTGTCGGAGACATTATACGTCATCGAGCTGAACTGATCTGGAGCGCAGCTCACTTTTGTTGGGCATTTGGATTTGCCTGTGATTTAAGTATTTTCATAAATAGTATTTTATAGTTTGTAGTGTTTTTCTAATTGGGAATTAATATTGCGTGTAGATAATGCCTTCACTTGTAAAGCCTGTCGAGACAGACTAATTTGTTGATCATTTATTTTAATTAAACGATCTTATGAAGATACTGCTTACCAGTGCAGCCTGTCTCTGTCCTGCTTTAAGTAATGCAAATGTGTGAATAAATGTGTAAAAATACATACATGTTAACTGCTATTTTAATGTCATCAGGTCATTTTTTGTCATTTTTTTCTTCATCTGAAAACATTTCTTCTGTCATAACTGCAAGATTTACACTTCTCCATAAAATGTATAGCAGATGTGGTATGGGCTGGTTTTCGCTGTACTTTGTGACATAAAACGTTGTTCTGTGTCCATGATGGAACTTGCATGCATTTAAAAGATGCGACTCATTTCTGTCGTCTGTTAAGGTAAGCAGGCTGTGTGCACACAAGCAATACACTTGTATAAATATGTTTTGTGATAATACTATGCAAGCACATTTTTACATAGTTTTAAAACTTTTACAACAACTGTAAAGCAAAACGGATGTATTTCCCACGTAAAAACGATCCAAAAATGCACATAGGTCCATGTGTTTTTCGTATTTATTTGTTTGGAATATATAGCTTGCATTATGATATAATAAACAAAGAGATTAGCTCTTTGTAATGGACCATATTTCTAAAAATAAGCTTGAAAAGTCGTTAGCAGGGCGGTGATGACGTCACAGGCGAGCGCACTGAGGTGCAGTCCGTTAATAGCTTAGTGTTAGCTTTTCAATTCTTGCGTTTGCATTTAAAATCCAAAAGTGCTCAAAGTTGTATTTTCGTGTGAGGATTATCCGGCTGGACAAAACGCGTAAGTGTAATGAACAGTGTTTGAACACATAGCTTATTATTTGCAATCTTCAAAAAGCCTATGGGTAAATCCTATAAGGATTTTATCAAGGGAACCAGTTTTATGCTAACAGCCGATTAGCTTACAAGGTGACAACATAGTTCCTCCACTCTATTTCAAACACTTGACTGAAGTGATTATATAGTAAAAGTACAACAGTAAGTCTAATTGTAAACAGGACCATAAATGCAAAACTGTATTGCACACGTTCCTGTAATAAATCATTGCATACACTTTTTACCAGTATATTGCTGATCTCCTATCTAGATTTGGAATCCAAATCATGGAAAAGATTAAAAAAAATGACTGACATAGTACATATGGAACCTAAATGGTTTCCAAACTCTAGATTTGGAACTTATAATAATGCATTGCAAGAAAGTGAAACTGACCTGAGACTCTACATTTTAAAATGTTAAAGGGTGCCTGTTTTACCCCTTATTTAAGATTTAAAAGATGTCTTTTGTGTCTCCAGAATGTGTCTAACGTTTCAGCTCAAAATAACCATCAGATTATTTATTAAACCTTTGTGTATATTGGAAGTTTGAGCTGTTTTGACTTTGTAGCTGTTTTTGTTGCCTGTGTCTTTAATGGAAATGAGCTGGTTCTCCCCGCCCATCGTTCCCACGTGCATGTCAGAGCCAAAGAGATTACTCACTTTTGTAATGATGGGTGTAGCTTCTCCTGCTGCATCTCACGAATAAAGGCTGATTTATACTTCTGCGTCAAACGCCGGCGTATGCTACGGCGCTGACGCATAGCCCTTCGCCATGGCCATCGGCGTCACTGACGTGCACCTCTCAAAAAAATGTAACTACACGTCGCAACAACGCGTAGCGCAAGCTCTGTGATTGGTCGGCTTGGTAGCGCTGACGAGTCTGGGCGGGACTGAGAGCCGCGTGAATGGCGCGAGCGATTGTTTACAAGTGTGGAGTCCCGTGAAGGAGCTCCGGATGGATAGTTTTGTTTTGTGTTTACCTCATAGTTAAAGTTGTCCGCCGGTTCCTGCCTCAAAATGAGCGAGCTTGAGCAACTTGTACATCCAGGAAGTGTTCAGGAAAAGCAAAAAAGCAGCGACGAAACTCGACACAGAGGAAGATTTACACCTCACTGTCAACTAGCGTTTCGGAAGTGTTAATGCAGACCAACAGAGACAGCGCGCAGAAGTATAAATGCACAGCCACGCGCGTTGCATGCGCCGTGGGTTACGCCGGTCACTTGACGCAGAAGTATAAATCAGGCTTAAGCAGCACAGTGACAGACAAGAATGGAGCAGATCTACCTTAACGCAGTAAGAGCTTTCTCAACGGTTATTTGATGTATTGGTTTTGGAGTTAATTTACACACAATGTCGTTATAAAGTTTGCACACGTGCAAGCGCTCTCACTCTCTCACTGTTTTTGCACATCAATGCACGTGACGATGCACGTTATTAATCACTGCTGTATTGATATCCGTTATGTTCATGTATAAAATAGTCCTGATTTAGTATCCATAAACCAGGACTGAAGCATCTTCTTTTATAATTGTACTGACACTCGGCTGAGGTGAAGAATTACGAAGAAGTTTTACTGTCCATATTACAAACTCATTCTTGAGGTGCAGCTGATCACAGTGAGCTGAACAGATCTTTTAATCACAGTTGCTTTGTGGACATCCTGTCTTATGATTATACGCATTACTATGTAGACATGTTAATACGTGGCGTATTAGCATGAATATGGTGGGCAGGGCAACTGCACTACTACATCACGTTGCGGTGGGCCTTAAAATGGGAGGGCTTTGGATCCCATTTTTTACGTAAGAAAAAAAAAAAGACAGTGTTTTTATCAACCCAATATAACCGTGGACACACTACACACAGTTCTGTCCAAACAGCTTACAAAAGATGATTTCCATCATACGTGCTCTTTACATTATGAACTGCAAGAAAGGGTACATGGTTCAGAACTCTATACCTGTAATTTTCAATTATTAAATAAAAACGTGAAAATGATTTGGAGTTTAATATGTAATTCTAAATTATGTTATATTATATATATATATATATATATATATATATATATATATATATATATATATATATATATATATATATATATATATATATATATATATATTTATATATATAAAAAATTTATTTTTTACATTTATTTTATTTTTTTTACAAAACTCAAACACTGTAATAGTTTTAGTCTATTCTAATAAATCAACACACTTGTACTTTAAATAGAAAACACAAACTGACATCAAACATGTGCTACTCTGAAGAATCTGTAATGCTTAACAATATATGCCAAGAGCTTAAATGTCTAAAGCATGAGCAGCAAGTACACACAAAAAACTGTTTTGTAGAACTTTACAGTGGATGGATCGTCAAAGCAGACATGTATTGCCAAATTCAAAGACTTCTGGTTGAACTTCAATACATCTGGACTGCAATGCAGATCATGTAGAGTATCTTGATCCATTCTCAGGGGTTCACACATAATGCCCCATTTGAGCTGAGATCTCAATGTTGATGCAGATACTCTTTATGGAGGCGACAGTAAAAACAAAAGCACTGCTCATATAGATGCAACAAACAAGTTAACACTGTGTATCTGTGGGCTTTCCTTGCAGCATGATGTGATGATCATGATGCCGAAGAGAGGAAAGTATATGCAGTGTTACTGATCCAGCTCTCAGACGTGATATAATCACATGCATATGCGCCACGCGCGCGCCAAGTCTGCACCAGAACAACAACGATCCCCGCAAAACACATCACAGCTCTCGTGGCCCCTTAAATCTGCACTTTCCCAACACCAATTGTGTCAATTAGCAGCATAATGAAGCCATTTTGGGGCAATTCCTACCATTCACCCCTTGGGCCGTGCCCTTGACTCCGGACCCTCCGTATCCACACACACACCCGACTGCGATCCGCGCGCTGTCAAGGCAACCGGATGACGACGTCAGCACGCCGTTCTTCATAGGCTTTCATTATAATCAGGAAACTCAAGGGTCAACGGGTCCGAAAACTTGCTACGTGAAACCCCCAGGCGGGAGGAGCCTCACAATTTGCCCCTTTTCACGCAAACCCCCGGCCCATGTGTCGGCTGTGCTCCCACCCCTGGCCTCTCTGGCGCATGCAGCCATTGGATTAGCGGCGAAACGAGGGAGGAGAGCCTCCGAGACTGCGCCATTGTTATTGTAGTGAAAAAAATATTACTCAGAAGTAGTTATTGGCGCATAATCGACGGGACAAAACGACACGGAAGTCGAATGTGAATCAGAAGTATCCGAATATGTGGATCTTGACACTATAAAAACGTGGTGTTTCAATAACAACACGTGAATAACACTGTGACCAATTTCGAGTCTTGCTATCAGACATTAAACACTTCTAGATACCGAACACAGCTCTGTTTATGACTAGACCCGTGACCCCCTTTCGGTTTTCTTCGAGAATGGAGTTAACTTGCCGGTTTATGGTTTAATTGAAGTTACCCCAGAGCGGTAATCAAACGCTAATACACGTGGAGCCCTGTGGGGGCGCTGCACAGTTAGGAAACATCAACTATAACGCCTATATGTGACTAATCACAAATATTTCATAATCCAAGCTAGTCAAATTAACTAGGGTCTAAAACACATCCATCAACCAGCTACAATAAACAAGAGTTATGTCCTAATTGGCAGATCATTTTGCCCCCTTCAGTCAGTGGGCAGCACTGCCTCACGTCCGCCATTAGAGAGCGAGCGAAACAATGCGCGAGAGCATAGGCAACAGCACCCTGCCACGGCGGAGGGGGAAATCTCAGGCGGGGTAAAATTGCACGCTAAATTACCGTAGCGTACAAATACAGGTGACCCCGGTGCTTTGATCGGCTCGAGATCCGTGGCGGACATAGTTGTAAAAACTTTGGGCAATTACGCACAGTTCTGCATCAAAACGCCAGAGAAATGCTTACCGGAGTAGAGCTGGAGACGGTAGAGCGCCACTTTTGTGCCTTGACATAAATCCTGGCGCGCATGCGTGAAAACGTACGGACGTTCTTGGCTCGTGGGAGGAGAAACGCGCTACTCACGCGGGATACGTGCACGCGCGGCCTAATGGAAGTCCGAAACGTTCATATGAGTTGATTCTTTTGAACTTAAACGATTCGATTTGGAAAACATGTTAAATAACATCTAAAAACACATTTCAAGTAAGAATTACTTGCATTTTTATGCATTTGAGATATTGGAGACTTACTTTTAATCGAGTAAATGCCTGGTTTATTCGAAATCCCATTGAAATCAGCTCACTCATCTACTTTTAATAGCTCGTTGTGAATCAGATGTGTGCACGAGTCAGTGAGTTGTTGAAAAAGGGAACAGCTCTGGTGTAATCATGAACGAACATTTCAGATCAGTTGTTTAAATTGGTTCGACTGATTCGCTGAAAAGAATCGATTCAAAAGAACGATTCTCCCACGAACTAGACCTCTCTAGAGCGCGCACCACGTGCACGCACGCGAACGTTTAACTATGTAATAATTAACCTAGCCTAGCCACCACGCGTTTAAAATAGTTTAGATATTATCTACGATATATGTAGATAGATTAATTAAACAATTTGATAATCCAATACAATTATTTTTGGCGGAACAATTCGACAGATTTCACCCTAATTTAATACAATAATAATAATAATAAGTACGTTTAAAAAAATGAATGCTACAGCACTAGTGGAAATAAATACTGCCATTTAAGAGTTGCTCATGAGTTGTTCATGAAGTGAAATGGGTTTATTTACAGAATATTTCTTCACTTATTTGAACTTTTAAAGTAATAATTTAAACCAGCACATTCATAAATTTTAATCGAGAGGTTAATCGCTGTTACTGAAGCCTTCAATAAGTGTATTTGAACAAAAGTGTGATGTAAACACTAAGCAGCACATGCAGTAGGGTCAGTATATGACCAACTGCATTGCGTAAGAGTCATATTAAAAAAACACCTTTCTGTTCTGTGATAATTAATTCCATTCGACATACAACAGATAAGTTTAATTGAGAAGTCGATTGCATAAAACAAGCGTCCTTTTGGTACGAACAATCCCTTTCTGAAGACTTGATGACACTGATGGGATGGAATCGAGTGACGCAGTTTGTGAAACCTAATGTGATCCACTGCACACACACACACACACACTGACAGTGTCGGACAACGATGCAATACAATATATACAGAAATACTTACGTGCTTGAGCCAGAATTCTTCAACGCGTGCACAAGTTGATATAATCAGACTAGAATGAGACTCTTTTTAATTAAACATTAGGTATTGTTTTCTCTTTAACTTTTGTACTACATTTGTAGTATTTCGAGGTGGCAGTAAGTTAAACATTAGTTTGCATGACAGATATAAACACTCCTGTATTTTAGTTTTTAAAAGATGTTCACGTGTAAGTGGATCCCTCAAACACTTTAAAAGGGATAGTTCACACAGAAATGAAAACGTACTCCCCTTTTACTCAGCCTCAAGTGGTTCCAACTCTTTAAGAATTAGTTTTTTCTGTTGAACGCACAATATAAAGTTATAAATATTGTTGGAAACGGGATGCCATTGCTATTCACGTTATGAAAAACACAATGGCAGTCGATGATTGGTTTCCAACATTTTTCAAAAGATCTTCCTTTGTGTTCAACAAATGGGAAAAGAAGTGAAAACAGGATTGAAACGAGAGATTTTAAGATGACAGAATTATCTGTTTTTGGCACACTATCCACAGTCATCTGTTTAGTCTATTTTATTAGTCCCCTGTAGTTCTTTGCTTTATATTTTAAATATATAGTTCACCCAAAAATTACAGACTTTAAGCTTTCTTAACTTTTTTTTAAAGGTTTGAAACAAGTGAGTAAAAGAGGTTTCATTTTTGGGTGAACTATCCCTTTAAGACCAATTTTAGTCTTTTATTAGTGGAAAGGAACATATACTCATTTAGCTGTAGCAAAAATAATGTCCAAGAGTTCATATTACTCTGCATGTGATGAATACATGCCAAATAAGAACACAAACACGTGTGTATATTTATCAGATGGGTTTGTAAATGTAGTGTTTTTGTTGCTGCCCTTATGGAATATATATATATATATATATATATATATATATATATATATATATATATATATATACACACACACACACACACACACACACAGTAGTCAATTCTATTAGCAACTCTTGTGTGCTTGCTGGCTACAGGCCACCTTTCCCATTTGAAAACATTTGAAATTACATTTGCTCTGCTTTGTTACACTGACGAAAGACTCTTAAAGCTGCACGTTTAGAGAACCGTTTATTCCTTGTTTCTGTATTAAAGAGAAAAGAATAAAACTGATTGTTATGGAAATATATGTACAGTTTATTTACTGTAGTCAAAAGAGGAAATGAATCAATGAGCAGTCGTTCTCTCACTTACTAATAGTACAATGACAGGACGAAGAGAGGCAGGCCATGAACAACACAATAGAAGAAGCCTTCACTGCACGTCCAAACTCAAAATAAGATCGGACTCTTCAGTTCAGTCAAGTGATTTGATTTGTAATGTGAAATCTAATAAGAAATTAAACCGGGCTGGTGTTCAACCTGCACGACGACATGTAAAAAGAGTCACGATCGCTGCTAACCAGCATAAAAGTGACCCGTTCTAATAATCGCTTCTACCTGGATGACTTCAACCTGTGTGGATCCTCCTCTCAATGCAATCACACATTAGCCCTTAAAATAGTGAACAAGCTAAACGTACACATTCATACATTTCTTCCAAAAATAATGGCTTCATTATAGATCCAATTTAGGATTAAAATCACATTCTCTGCAAAGAAAATGTTTTAAAGCACACGTTTCTGATGTTCAGTCACACTGGTGTCCAGTTTTTTTTTTTTTTTTTGTGGCCCCTAGAATGCAAAGCAACAGGGAGATGAGAACTGCTCATTCTTTCATTCATTCTGCACACATCAGACAAGTGCGCTGTCTGGTTAAACACACCGAACATAAAACGAAACAGTGGGTGAGAATCTGGAGTGATAAATTATTCTATTTAAAAAGAAATGAAATAAAAGGAACACTATACAAACAAGATTTACAAATGACCTTCAGACGCAAGCCCGAATTTATCATATTTCATGCTGACCTCGAGGGTGATGCAGTTTCAATTCACAAAAATCGGACCTCTGGAAACTGGTTGCAACACTTAGCTAAACAAGAACTTATAAGTCACGCTGAGAACTGTGACTGTTGTCATTGACCTGTTAGTATTACTGTCTTTCAGTTTATTCCACACAAGTAAAACTAAACCATTCCTAAAGAATCTCATGTTCAGCAGGTGTAGGAAAAGTCTCAGTTTTTGGAGAGGACGAGCTCCTGCAGTGACCCTCTGACTTCACTGTAGCTGGACTCTGTACGCACAAATGAGGAGTTTCACCTGTGGAAAAAAGAAAGACACTGTTAATATTCATTAAGATTGCTTCCTTCACACTTTTTATGGTCGTCTACTCATAGTTTCAGCTACATTCATTCTTCCATGGCGGGGCGCCACACCAAAATACATTCCCGCCACGGCTACATAACAGCTTCACATTCAAAATGTTTATTTTATTTTTTTATAGTGGGTTATAATCGCAACAAACATTTAAAAATGTAAGTGAACTATAACAGAGTGAACTTTTCTGTAATCGTATTAATGCTATGCATATTTGTTTAATGCAAGTTCAGACTGTATGTTTTTAGCCCCGATTTTTAACTCGCCGACAAACGCCTGAAATCACAAGCGAGTAACAATCCCACAGTGTGAACTATCAAAGAAGCGATCTGAGAGAATCGCAGATGAGTCGCGGATGCCCGTGAGATATTTGGCGTGCTAAATATCTGGACCTGTCTGCGATTCAGTGTCATCCGAGAACACAGAGTTTCTTTTTAAATCCACCGTCAGTTTTAACATCTAATTTTTCTACTTGTGAGTCTGTTACTAAACTAGACGTAACCATAGAACAAGTATGAAATAGATTGAGGAGAATTAAAGGGAAGAAATCTGCAGGACCTGACAGCATCAGCTCTGTTCTTAAAGCCTGTGCAGATCAAATCTGTTGGGTGGTTCATTACATATTTATTTTGAGTTTGCCTTTGGAAAGAGTTCCCATTTTATGGAAGGCATCATGTGTAGTACCAGTCCCAGTACCAATAGCTCTACCAGCCCAGTTGATGAAACTTTTTGAAAGATTAGTTTCAAAGTATATTAAGCAGCTGTTGAGTGCTTTAAGGACAGACTGCAGTTTTCGTACACAACTGGTGTAGGGGTAGATGATGCAATTATTTATCTTTTGCACAAATCTTTAAGTCATCTGCAAACATCAGGTAATACTGTTGGGGTCACTTTCTTAGATTTTTCAAGTGCATTCAACACTTCAGCCTGCACTACTGAGGGCAACATTAGAAAATGAAGGTTTACAAAAAAGTATGGAAAGTTGGTTTGGTTAACTGTCTAGATCACAAATAGACCACAGTATGTTAGGATGCATAACTGTGTGTCACAAGTTGTAATGAGTAGCATGGGTGTTCCTCAAGGAACAGTTTTAGCTCCATATTTATTTACATTCTAAATGTCAGATTTTCAATACAGCTCCAAAAATGGTCATCTACAGAAGTTTTCTGATGACTCTGCAATGGTTGGTTACATAAAGGATCATGATGAGAGTGAGTTTAGGTTGCTTTAAAAAAGATCTGCTGACTGGTGTGAAACAAATAGTCTTAAATTTAATACTAAAAAAACAAAGAAATGATTGTTGATTTTAGTAGACACCCACCACAAGCGGTGCCAGTGTTTATACAGGAGTCAGCAATTGAGATTGTTTCATCATATAGGTACCTGGGTGTCTATCTGAACAACAAGCTCGATTGGTCTGAAGATAGAATTCAGGTGTATAAGAAGGGTCAGAGCCGCATTCATTTATGAAGACGACTGAGGTCCTTTGGTGTGTATCAGACACTGTTAAAATCTTTTTAGGATTCTTTGGATGGAAATGTCTAATA